AAATATTTACATTTAAAGATAATAATTTAAATAATACTTCGATTTCTGAAGAAAATAAACATGATACTTTATTCTTTGAATATGATAATGTGTTTGTTGTAGATTGGATCCACAATTCACATTCATCGTATCTAATTACTTCATAACATTTAGGATAAATTACACGCTTATTATCTAAACTATTAATTTTAGTACATAAACTTTTATGTTTTTTAAAATCATACCTACATTTAAGTTTTGTTTCATTTTAGTACCGCACCGTTAAAAATTTAACGGCACTGTATTTTTATGAATAAATTAAGTCATTCATCCTTCAAATATCTTCTCAATCCTATTTTAGTACTAAAGTTAAATTTTTAATTTAACTACTCAACTTTAAATTGCTCCTAATCACTCTCATTATTTATTGATAATTTTTAATGAATTTAATATAAAAAAAAAAAAAAAAAATATTTGAAAGTTAGAGTAATTAATTAGGAGTAATTTGAAAGTTAAGTAATTAAATTAAAAAATAAAACTTTAATGACCAAAATAGGAGTGAGAATATGGTTTAGTGATAAATGATACAATTTATCCATAAAAAGGTGCCACGTGCAAATGTTTTTAATGGCGAGGTATTAAAATGACACAAAAACGAAACGTTAGGTATGATTTTGAAAAAAATAAAAGTTTCGGTATTAAAATGAACTAAAATTGATAATTTAGATATCAAACACGTAATTTACCCTATTATTTATCCAACTTTTAAATGCTCCTTTACCTTCTATTTCCTTCAACAACAAAAAATAAATAAAGTTGGATTCTGATCGGTAACTTCATCACATGCCCATCACATTGCACCTGCCTGTATTATTATTACTATTATGCATTTCTATTGTGGTCCTTTAGATCACAAAACTATTCTTTTGGTCCATTTTAATTTCTAACTTTTCTTTTAAAATCATACTTAACATTTAATACCTAAATTATTAGTTTGGTTCGGTTTTAATGTCAAAACTTTAATTTTTTTTCAAAATCATATTTAATTTAATTTTTGTTTCATTTTAGTACCCGTCGTAAAAGCTTAACGCATTTGATACCTAAACCATCAGTTTTAATCTATTTTACTACATTGAACAAGATCGTTGAGTGAAAGTAGAGCTGTAACAAATGGGATACATAAAAATAAGTATAACATCATTTGAACTAGCTATGTAATCTTACACATAAATACTACCATTCCTGCACAAAAAAATACTAAACCGAATAGATATACATGATTTTTTTTTTTTTGATAACGTAGGACCTCCTAAGGTCAGAGTAAAGAATCCGACCCTACAAGGCAACCTCCAGAGGAGCTCAAAGAACCCACCACTCTGTCTCCCTCTTTTTTCCAAGATTCCCAACCAACGCGATTCGAACTTAGGACATGAGACCAACTCATAATCCCAAGAGCCCTTACTTTACCAATTGGGTCACGCCAGCTGTGATATATACATTATTTCATTACAAGGAAATTGAACTTACAAGATATGAATCTCAAGGCTGTCAACGTGGGGGCAAACGAAGAGGACAAGAAAGTACATATATTTATAGGAGTAATACTGCCCCCATGTTCTCATGAACTGCTCTCACCAATGCCTCCTTTATTAATGAAGAAAAAGACCTTGAAGTATCAGAACTGTGTACCGACACATGGTCTTACAATTTCTTTCACCGGAGCAAATCAATGTAGGGTAAATTACATGTTTAGTACTTGACTATTAGTTTTGGCCCGTTTTAGTATCAAATTTTTTTTATTTTTTTAATATCATACCTAAAGTTTAGTTTATGTTTCATTTTAGTACTCCCATTCAAAATTTAACGTCAAATTTTGAAAAAAAAAATGAAAGGTACCAAAACGAACCAAAACTGATAGTTTAGGTACTAAACGTGTTAAATTTTTAACGGTAGGGTATTAAAATGAAACAAAGACTAAACATTAGGTATGATATTGAAAAAATTGAAAGTTAATGTACTAAAACAGACCACAACTGATAGTCTAATTATGTATAATGTGAGTTGTGATTTCAAAATTTCAGGTTTAATTTATATTTTAGGATAAAGTGCACAAATGGTCCTCTGACTATAGAGTACTACTTTATCAAGTCTCTCGAGTATTAAAAGTTATAAATGGTCATTTGATTATAGAATGTTGCTTTGTTAAATTCCTCAACTATTAGAAGTTACAAAATAGTCACCTGACTATCATTATTTCCAAACTTGCCTATTTCCATTAAAAAATTGGCAGTTGTCTAAGTTGTACGTTAATATGATGACTTAGATATGATAGTCGTTTGAGATTCTGAGAGCATATTTTATCATATCATAGTCAACAGATTAACGTTTAGCTCAGAATATCGTCAATTTTTTTAACAAAAAATTACGAGTTTGGAATATAATGAATAGTTGGGTGATCATTTCATAACTTTTAATAGTCGAGGTACTCAAAAAAGCAACACTATATAGTTAAAGGATCATTTTGTAACTTTTAATAGTTGAGAAACTTAACAAATCTAGGGAAGCGATGGAGAAGTCGAGAAGATAGGTTCGGGGAAGAAACATATGGGAAAGGGGGTATATTGATATTTTATCCTTGAACTATTTGGGTTTACAGAAAGATTCGTGATTAGAAATTTATCTAAATTTCAATAGTTAAATAAATGAACTATTTTACTAACATGCCATGTCATCAAACTAACAGAAGTTAACATCCCAGAGACCCCATCTTAATTAAAACAAAACGAAAATGACCATATAGTTTTTTAATCTAGTGACCATAAATTTATAAAACTCAAACAAAAGTGATCATTTGTGTAGTTCACCCATTTTTAATGAAAAATGACGAGTTTATAATCTAATGAAGTCAGTGATCATTTTATAACTTTTAATAGTCGAATGACTCAACAAAGCACCATTTTATAGTCGAAGGACCATTTTATAACTTTTAATAGTCGATAAACTTAATAAAATTGTACCCTATGGTCGGGGACCATTTGTATGCTTTACCCTATATTTTAATTCTTTTTTTTTAATTTTGAACTTTGATAAATTAAGGGGTTGTTTGTTTACCTCTTAATGAAATCATTCAACCCTGAATGTTGAACCGTTCAGCATTCAGCTCGTTTGTTTCGCACTTCTGAATGATTAAGTGCTGACTGATTCAGCAAAACAGTGCTGAATGATTCAGCACAGAAGTACATTCTGAATGATTCAGAGCCAGTAAACAAACAGCATGTCACATTCAGCTAATTCATCCAGAGCCTCTGAATCATTCAGCATATGATCATTCAACAATCATTCTAAGTAAACAAACAAACCCCCTAAGTTTCTCTTTTCAATTGTTTTCATTTTCAATGGTTTTTTTTTCAAATTATAAAATTAGGTGAGTTTGATCTTAATTTCTCATTTTTGTATATAATTACTTTTTATCGTTCTTAAATGTGTTTATCAATTAATCTAATTTTATAATATAATTTTCTTAAATAATATTTTGGGTCGCTTCAACGATTGATATAACTTAAAAGTTGAATTTAGTTTCAATCAGGCCATAATTATTAGTGGTTGACGGAAGTATTGATGTAACAATTAAATAAATTTGTATAATAACATATTTAAACTCATTATTTATACATTTGCATTAAAATTAGGAGTAAGTTAATAGAATGTAAATAGTGTTAAGTAAATGTGTTTTTTTTATATGCAAGCAATTGTGTTATTATCTCAACTATGATAATAAAATATACAAGTACCGCAGATCAAATATATTATTATTAAATTTATTTAATTATTAAAATAATAATTCTTTTAACGATGAATAGTATTGGCTTGACTAAAATTAAATTAAAATTTAACAACTTGAGTAAGTACATTTGATCAGTTGGTTAAACTCTTCACATTTATTTTCTCGTATTTTTTTAATTCATGAGTTTTAAACTCAAGGAGAACCTTATTCCTTTTCATAGAATAACTTTTTCCCTCCCTTCTATTAGATAGAATTAAAATTAGGAATTGATGTTGAGGATAATTTTATCCTTCTTTAATATAATGGTTATTTTTTTATTAATTTAAAGGTGATTACAGGATAATATCTATTCAAAAGACTCGATTCATTTGAGAATAAAGGTTTATATACCTCTAATATACGATATATTCAAACTCGGAACATTTAAAGATAACAATCATTCATTTTAATCATTGAGATAACTTGATTCAAGTTTTTAATATAATGTTTAAACTAAGCTTAATCCCTCAAATGTATGATTCTCGTTTATCATTATTAATTCACAAATGAATTTCATATAATTAATATTGATTTTTATTGAAAATAAAGTGCGTCATTAAAGTGAATGCCATCATACCATTTGATATGGCATGTGAGGGCCTAATTAATGTTGCAAAAAGTTGTAGCATGTCATTAAAGTTAATATTATTATCAATAATAATTATTTTAAATGGAGAACAAATAAATACAAAAAAAGTATAAGAGGTCTTAGTATTTTTTTAAAAAATCAATGTGAATATCGTATTATTTTTTATCTTAATGTGACATTTTTAACAGAAAATAATCTTAATGTGGTGTTTTAATTAATGTTTTTTGTCGTTAACCATTATGATGTTGACGTGAAAGTTCACAGTGTTAATTGAAGGTCCACGATTTATGTGGATATTCATGGTGGTTGATAACGTACCAAATAACATGATAGATGAATTAATTTGATAACTTAAGTATGACAAAGAAACTATTATATTAGTATCGTAGACCATCACATCACTACTATAAAATATCACATCAACATGTAACAATCAAACGATAAAAAAATATAGATTAAAGGCACATTAGATTTAACTCTTCAAAGGTATGAAATGTGAAAGAACCAAAGTCATCTCAATCAGAATCTAACGCCAGTTAAATACACAGATATTGCAGAGTAGAAGCACCCGATCCAATCCTGAGCGGATGCCTTGGCGGTCACGGATTCTCCTTCCCCGCCGTTATTTTTAATCACCGAAGAGCAAACCCTTTTTCCCTATAAAAATCCACCCCTGATTTCTTCACCAACTCATCTTCATTCTCTCTCTCTCTCTCTCTCTCGATCCTTCAAAAAAAATGGAATCTTTTGTTCTTCCGGGGAACAGTCGTTCGGTTGAACGTGACACTGGAGTGGATTCACTTGCAGACATCGAAGCCGGCCATAGCCGAAACCATAAACAGCAAACCGGGTTTTTCTCTAGATTTCTTTGTTACTCGAGGAACAGCGGCGACAACAATGGCGGTTCCATGAATCCATCTCCTTCGAGGCCCTGCATTAGATTCTACGAGAACAGATTCGAAGAACGCCAACCCCATTTCTTGGATGCTTGTTTCCTTTGCCGGAAGCCTCTCGGGAACAATCAAGACATCTTCATGTACAGGTTCGTAGCGTCTCTCGATCCGAAGATAATGTTATTGTCCTCCTCGAGTGTCGTTCCGATTTGGTTCTTTCGTTGTGCAGAGGGGACACACCGTTCTGCAGCGAAGAATGCAGGTACAATCAGATAGTGAAGGATGAAGTTAATGCAAAGAGATTCCAGCTTTCTGCAACGCTGAAAGCTTTGAGAAACAAGGAACAAACCAAAACAGCATCTGCAGCTACTACCGATGGGTACCATCTGCACACAGGCACAGTTGCAGCTGCCTGAAACTAATCAGCTTATAATCAATTTTGATTAAGTTTTTTTAGTTGCCCCTTCGATTCTAATGCTTCGTCTTGATTAATCCATATTTTGGTGAATGAGTATCCGAGTAGAGATTTTCTACCTATACAAAAACTTAAACTCAAAACTTTACTTAAACGATATCAAGTTATTTACTACTTAAACAAACCTGTTAGTTTTGATTTAGTCTTTTCAACAGCGAATGTTTTGTGTTTTTCATATATGAGGCTGTGAAAAAAGGCTTGGATCTCTATGATGCAATTAATCATGTGGATCTTTCTTTTCGGTTTATATATTAGATTGGAATTTTGTCTATTTTATTTTGTATTGACAAATGTCTAACGTATCGATGTCATGGTTCACTATTTAATGACGTTATGATTGACACAAACATTAAAACGAAGTCGTCTTAAGAAACTCAAATATACTTCGAAATGGCGTCGTTTTGAAAGAGTAAAGTTCAGTGACTCGTGATATAATTTATCCTTTTTTCTTCTCTTCTTCATTTCTACCCCTAAGACACCACATCATTTTCATTCCGACCACAGTCGACCACCATATATGGTGGTTATTCGATTCCAAATTTTATGAGTCGGTTCATTTCAACACCTGAGTCCGAATCTAGTAGTTGTTTCATCGAAAATTGTCCCAAAACTTGTGAACTTGAACTGAAATGTTTTGGTTTTCTCATTTTCAATCTCAAATTCGTGGACTTCGGAACAAGTTTCGATAAAATGGAGGTCGGATTCGGACTCAAGATATCGAGCCGAAGTAACTCACCTCATTTTAAGACCGAACGACCACCATTTATGGCGATTGATTGTGATTGGCGGTGGCATGGCCACCTTCTGTTTTTATTTTATTATTTTAATTATTTTATATTAAATAATAATAATAATAAAATGTCATGTCATCAGCTACTAGAGAGAAAACGATCGAGTGAAAAAAATGATTCGATTGTAAAGTTCAGTAAGCAAATTGATCAAATTAAAAGTTGGGTGAGGAAAATAAGATTTTGATTTTGAGTGCAGTTAAACATAAAGGTAAATTACGTATTTAGTACTTAAATTATCAATTTTGACCCCTTTTAATACATAGATTTTTATTTTTTTTAAATAATGCCTAACTTTTAGTTTTTCTTCATTAAAGTGCCCCGCCGTTAAAAACTTAACGCGTTTAGTACCAAAATTATTAGTTTTGGTCCGTTTTAGTACCTAAACTTTTAATTTTTTTCAAACTTAACGTTAATTTTGAACGGAAGACTAAAAAAAATAAAACTAAGCTTCATATATTGATATATCTCACACTCTTACCTTACGAATATGAAAAACTTAATTGTTAAACTATTAATTTAAAAATTAAATTAAGATCTCATTATTCTAATTTCAAATTGATATGAAAATAAAAAGTATTTATCAAAAAAATTGATCATTATTTAATTTTAAAATCAATAAATATCTAAAGTATGTTTAACCAAAAAATTAAGCTCATGGTTATATATATATATATATATATATAATTCGAGCACAATATATTTTTATTTGATCTTATTCGAATTTAAAAAATTTCACTCGACTAAATTTGATTCAATTTTAAACTTACACCATGTCTGACCTAATCTAAAAATATATATTCTTGTTTTATTAAGCAAATTAAAGATCTAATTGAAACAATATATAAAGAGAGTATAAAGAGAGGTGTTATAGCATAATCCATAAATATAAAACATTATACTATTATTCTCGTACAAGATACTTTTTACCTTAAACACAAATTTGACTCCACCTACTCTAAACACACATAATTTAAGAGAGAATTTAACCTTGTATGATCGGATCGGATCAGACCAAACTCATTAAATTTATGTAAAATGATGTCACAAGTATAACAACATACGTAAATTATATGGCCGAAACATTTTTTAACAATTTCTACTAGTGGAATGAAAAAAAAATTCTTCTAATGAATAATGAATATTAATCCGGATCGAGTATTACAGTGGAAACATAATTGAATATTAAAAGAATCATATTATTTAATTTTAAAATTATAACAAATCATTAAATATTTAAATTGAAATTTAGTAAGATTGGCAAACTGTCAATTACTGAAAAGATAATAACAAATCCAAAATTATCTTAATCACGAATCTAAGGCAGGTTAAATCCACAAGTATTACACGTACTCACCCAGTGAAGTCTTCTTCCTATAAAAATCTACCCGCCTTGTTCCTTCACCCACTCATCTTAATAACCCCAATCGCTCTTGATTTCCTTCAACCACCAAAGCCATGGAAGCTGCATATTCAGGGAGCAGCCATTGCCAGAAGAATGGGTTTTTTCTCTAGGTTTCTTTGTTGTTATACAAGGAATAGCAGTCCCAAGAGTCTGTCTTCTTCGGTTTCTTCAAGGTCCTGTGATGGTAGATTCAGAAGCCCATTTCTTGAATGCTTGTTTCCTCTGCAATAAGCCTTCAAAGACATCTTCATGTACAGGTATTGTTCGACTCATCGATCTCGACATATTGACCTTTAACTCAGAAAATAAATCCAACGTGATCATTTAATCAATATTTTTCGTGTTGATCGTTACATTACTGACGTGACAATTCACTGTACTTACATAATAGTCCACGGTACTGATATGACTATCAACAATAGTTGATAATGTGACGCATAACATGACAAAATAACTAAATTAGTAACTCAAACATGACAAATTGATTGTTATGTGAGTACCATAGATCGCCATGTCAATATCATAAACTGTCACACCAACACCATAATGGTCAATGACATAAAATCGTTAGTCAAAAAATTACACTAATTTTAGTTTTTGAGTTGAAAGGTCACGTTGAGAAAATATAATATAGGATTACATTAGTTTTTCATAAAAGTACCGATGCATACAATGTTTTTTTGTCTTTTTTTAAACGTGCAGAGGGGAGGACACGCCGTTTTGCAGTAAAGAATGCAGGTACAAACAAATGATGGTCGATGAAGTTAACGGAAGGAGATCAGAGGTTTCTGCAACAGTAAAAGCTTCGCATATAGGCACTGCTGTTGCTGCCTAAAACTATATAATGAATCCTTTCTCATTGGAAGAAGAAAGAAAACAAATTTATAATGAATCATCAATCATTGGAAATGCTCAATCTTCTATTTAATTGTCGGTTTTTTTTAGAAATAATGCAACAAAATTTATAATGAATCCAATATTTCATTTTGTGTCAAAAAAAATCACACTAGATGAAAATCGTTAGTCAACTGACGGTTAACGCTTGAAATTGACTTAACAAGAACATGTGAAATGATATGCTGACGTGGTAGATCCACTTTGACTAAAACTGACATGAAATATCCACTTGTGATGCCATGTAAACTATATATTACCAGTGACACACAGAATTTTTTTTATTAAATTTTGAAAGGAGGAATTAAACCTCCAAAACAATGCACCCCATGTGATTTGAACGCAGTGAGTTACCTTTAAATGTTGATCCTTAGTTGATTAATGATTTTCGTCTAACGAGGTTGTTTTTTGATCTAATGTTAAACGTTAGGGGTAATATACTTCAAAAAAATAATAAGATAAATTTGACACTATTATCAAATGTGAGGAGTATTTTGTTGCATTATATATATATTTTTTTTGAAAAGATTTGAACTAAGAGAAATATAGGCATGGAAATACTCAAAGTTTAAGGATGTTTATGTGTAGGGTTAATTGTCTTCAAAATCGTAAGTCACAGCCAGTGGCCTAGAACTATTAGGCTTGGGCTTCGCATTAGAAATTAGGCCTGGTCTGTTCCAACATATGTTTATTTCTGCAATTGCAATTCATATTCTCTTATTGAGATATTTACATCATCACATCGAATCATTCTCTTATGCACTTTAATTCGAACAATTCCTTTAATAATATCTACAATCTCACCCACACTACTCTAAACACCCCTAGATTACCTATAGTTTCTTTCTTCCCATATACAATAGATGTGAGCACTCCAAGTCACTCTCAAAATATACACCGGAAGCGATGAGAAACCGCCCATCCAAGCTCCTCACTCCAGCTTCCCACAACCCTACACAGCCTCAAAACACTCCCAATCCTAATACACACAGAGAAAATACGATTTCGAGAATGCTGCCCCAACCCATCTCAGTTCCTGCAACCAACCTCCACATTCGTTCCCATTCTGAGCAGCCGCTAAGCAGTGGACAGCCTGTTGAGCACTGCCATCCAAGGAATGGTAGAGTGCTTAGCGACATTGTTATCCTTGTCATTCTTATTCCTAGTCTCACCTCACAGCCACCTCGCTGTTATCCTTCCCCAATCAGGGTTGCCTGCAAACGAAGGCCTAACCTCCTCCCTCAACTTTATAATCTTCCTCAAAATCCAACTGGATTACAAAACACCTGCCAGGAGTCATGTTTGACATTGCTATGATTATTTGTATCGTCAGTTTCGATAAAATAAAAGTTCATAAAATTGAATATAATACAAATTTTCATAAATATGTTAAAGTTTATGTAAAAAACAATTCACAAAATAAATTTTAAATGCTCTTGGAGTGTTATTATGTTTAATATAAAACTTTTCCACGTTCATTTTAATTTAATGCTATTATGGGTAAGATTTTAGAGTTGAGATAAAGATGTAATTTGGTCCACATAAAACATTTAATGGTGAGAGTGAGAAGTGATTGGCTAAGCTTCTACGCTCCTCACCTGAGTATCAACACCAAGCGATGCATGTCATGGGGTACCTGAGATTCGGAATTCATTATTCCCATTTAGAAAATGACACTTTTGTCACCTCAATCCTATTTCAATGTTTCTTCTTTCCCCCCGGTAAAATAAACAACTGTTTGCCATTTTTTTTAATTATATATATGAGATAAACTACACGTTTAGTACTTAAACTATCAGTTTTGATTCATTTTAAAACCGTAACTAACGTTTCGTTTTTACTTTATTTTAGTATCCCGTCGTTAAAAATTAACGCATTTAGTACCTAAACAATCAGATTTGATCCGTTCTAATATCTAAACTTTCAAGATTTTCAAAATTATACTTAATGTTTAGTTTTTATTTCATTAGTATCTCGTTGTTGAAAATTTAATGCATTTAGTACCTAAACTATCAGTTTTGGTCTAGTATCTAAACTTTTAATTTTTTTCAAAAACGTTAAATTTTGAATGGGAGTACAAAAATGAAACAAAAACTAAAGTTTTAATTGCATGATACTAAAATAAAACAAAAATTAAACTTTAGATATAATTATGAAAAAATTAAAAGTTTAAATACTAAACCAAAATTAATAATTTAGATACTAAACCTCTAATTTAAATACTAAACCAACATTAGTATCTCGTTGTTGAAAATTTAATGCATTTAGTACCTAAACTATCAGTTTTGGTCTAGTATCTAAACTTTTAATTTTTTTCAAAAACGTTAAATTTGAATGGGAGTACAAAAATGAAACAAAAACTAAAGTTTTAATTGCATGATACTAAAATAAAACAAAAATTAAACTTTAGATATAATTATGAAAAAAATTAAAAGTTTAAATACTAAACCAAAATTAATAATTTAGATACTAAACCTCTAATTTAAATACTAAACCAACATTAGTATCTCGTTGTTGAAAATTTAATGCATTTAGTACCTAAACTATCAGTTTTGGTCTAGTATCTAAACTTTTAATTTTTTTCAAAAACGTTAAATTTTGAATGGGAGTACAAAAATGAAACAAAAACTAAAGTTTTAATTGCATGATACTAAAATAAAACAAAAATTAAACTTTAGATATAATTATGAAAAAATTAAAAGTTTAAATACTAAACCAAAATTAATAATTTAGATACTAAACCTCTAATTTACTTTAAAAAATAACTATTCGCCTCTGCATTCTTTTGCTCTCATTTATGAGTTTCAACTTCGAATTTTATTTGATTTAATAAAAAAATATTGTAAAATTTTTTGAGCGATTTAAATGATAAAATAGAGAGTTATTTTCTTTTGAAATTTTAGATTTAAGACCATATATTTTAGTATTTAATTAAGTTTTACTCAAGTTTAGCACCTAATAGAATTGGAAAGTTGAGCTGACTGGCTTTGAAGTTTTGCACTTTTAGCCTCCCTTTAAAGCTGGCCCCACCATATTTGTCTCCTGGGTAAATTACAAATTACATCACTAAACTTTACTCCATCTGCTATTTTAGTCACTAAACTTTAAAAGTTTTCAATTTTTTCAATGAACTTAATATGTTGAGTTTTTTTGGTCATTTTGTTGTTAAATAGATAATGAAGTTAAAATGATACCCTTTTAAAAAAATGAAGAAGGTAAATTTTGCCCTTATAGTAGACCCAATTTATCACTTTCACCTCTATCGTATTTTTACATCAATTTAGCTCTCGAAGCTACTCAACTGCATCATTCTATACCCTACATCTAACTTAAAAACCCTAAATTATAAACCATAACCCTATGACATCTAAACCATGCACTCTAAACCTTAAATCTAATTTAGGGTTTAAGTTAAGGATATGGTATAGAATGATGTAATTGAGCAGCTTCGAGGAAATTGATACAAAAATATGATAAGGACGAAAATGATAAATTGGGTCTACTACATGAATAAAGATGACCCTTAAGCCTTAAAAAATAAAAATTTCACCAAAACGACGTCGTTTTGCATTCATATAAAAGCTAATTTATAACGACAGTAGTGAAAAAATTACTGAGTGAAAAAAAAAACTCAATGTATTAAGTTTAGTCAATAAATTAAAAAGATCTAAAGTATAGTAAGTGAAATAAAAAAGATAGTAAACTTCATTTACCAAATTTGTAATATACCAGTCTCCTCCAAAAACTTAACCCCAAGCTTTGAATTTTCTTCTTCAAAACCATATCCGATTGAATCAACATCATCTTCATTTCTCTAAGCTGTAAAAACATGACCTTAACATTACGTTCATCTACTTCCTTCGTCAATCCAAAAGAAACCAAAACCTTCAAATTTTCCGACGACTTCTCAGGTACCACCCTTTGCTTTTCTCAAATAATAAAAGCATCGTGCCGTCTCCGGGCCAAGAATTCGACCTCCATGCAACGAGTTTCTCACGATAAAATCTCGATCTCGGACGAGAAGTTACATGGTTTAACGATTCCTCACGCCGAAAACAACTCGAAGGTGCCGGTTTACGTGATGTTACCGCTCGACACGGTGGATCACGGCAGTTACTTGAAAAAGCCAAAAGCGATGAACGCTAGTTTAATGGCGCTGAAGAGCGCCGGAGTCGAAGGCGTCATGGTGGACGCTTGGTGGGGTTTGGTCGAGAAAGATGGACCTTTGAAGTACAATTGGTAAGGGTATGCCGAGCTTGTCCGAATGGTCGAAAACAATGGCCTAATGCTCCAAGTTGTCATGTTGTTTCATCAGTGTGGTGGCAATGTCGGAGACTCTTGCAGGTATTTTCATCTGTTATCTCTTTCAACCCGTCAAAGATCGTTAGGTTACGGTTTTCAGAACATGAACTGATGTTTTCTTTGTTGTGTTTGAAGGTTTTAGCATTCCGCTGCCGCCATGGGTGCTCGAAGAAATCAGCAAGAACCCGGACCTCGTGTACACCAATCGGTCGGGACGGAGGAACCCCGAGTACATCTCGTTGGGATGTGATTCGATACCGGTTCTCTGGGGACAGACGCCGATTCAGGCTTATACCAATTACATGAGGAGCTTCCGTGATAGGTTCGGAGATTACTTGGGACGAGTTATAGTGGTACTGGTAAGTCATCATAACGGATGCATGATTTATGTTAAATACAAATTTTGTCACTCAATGTAAATTTTGTTACAGGAAATACAAGTGGGGATGGGTCCCTGTGGGGAACTGAGATACCCATCTTATCCAGAAAGCAACGGAACATGGAAATTTCCTGGAATTGGGGAGTTTCAGTGCTATGACAAGGTAAATTTAATAACTTACGGTGAAATAAATTCCATATTTTGGATTATCAAAACTTAGATTGATGTTGTTAAATGTTGAAAGACAGTACATGAGAGCCTCACTTGAAGAAGCAGCAGCAGCAGCCATGGGGAAGAAAGAATGGGGAAAAAGTGAATCACATGATTCCGGCCAATATATGCAATTTCCGGAAGAAACCGGGTTCTTCCATGCCTACGGGATGTGGAACACCGAGTACGGACAGTTCTTTCTTGAGTGGTACTCGGGGAAGCTACTCGATCATGGAGATAAACTACTTTCTGCCGCGAAAGGAACATTCCATGGAACCGGAACTAAACTATCGGGCAAGATAGCCAGCATTCACTGGCATTATAATACAGGGTCTCATGCCGCCGAACAAACAAAAGATAACTTTAGTCACTAATATAAGGTTGTCCTGTTGGCTCTGCTAAAAGATCAGAAATAATATAAACCAAAATTAATTTGATCTTCGCCCGCCTGTTCTTGATGACGTAACCGCAGCTTTTTTCGCCCCATTGATTCCCTCTTGTGATTCTTGTATCGCTTGCTTCAAGCTCTCCACAACTTGACTCATTGTCGGTCTTTCCTTGGCATTTTTCTTTAGGCAGCTCTGAGCCAGCTTTCCAACATTTTGAGCTGCACTGAATGAATAATTGTTTTGAAGCCGAGGATCGATTATCATGCTGAATCGTTTACTATCTGGAGGGAAATGTTTCACCCACTCTAGAAGCTTCTGCTCCGATGTCGGACGGTTCCGTTCCACCGTTCGCCTCCCTGTGATGATCTCGTAAAGTACAACCCCGAAAGTCCACACATCACTTTGGATTGTGAGGTGGCCTGTATCAATATATTCCGGGGCTGCATATCCATATGTTCCAACCACCTTTAACAAAATCAAAAGGAAACAACACTGTCAACAAACTTAATCAAAAGAATCACATCAAATACATTCCTCGAATGACTGATATCAACTTACGGTTGTGGATACATGAGTATGATCCCCGGTTGGTCCTTCCCTCGCAAGCCCAAAGTCTGAAAGCTTCGGCCTAAAACCTTCATCCAAGAGCACATTCGAGGATTTGAAATCTCGATATATCACCTATACAAACAACCCATTATAAGGATTCAATCAATGAGTTTTTAGCGCCATTTTCAAGCATCCTTTCCAACAATTTGTTGAAGATGTACCTTAACTTCCAAACCCTCATGCAAATAAGCCAGTCCTTGAGCTGCACCGAGCATAATCCCCAACCTTGTTTTCCAAGGCAAAGTGGATGTATTATTAAAAAGATGATCTTCTAAGCTACCATTAGGCATGAATTCGTAAACCAGAAGTCTTTGGATCCCTCGTTCTCCATCAGCACTACAATATCCTAAAAGTTTCACTAGGTTCGGATGATCAACGACACCGAGAAATTGAACCTCCGCAAGCCATTCCTTGTGACCCTATGAATTTAGCAAGAAGATCTTGTATCAAACTACTTTGAAAACCCTCAAGCAAAAACTAAGACTTCTCACAGAAATTTTCACAAACAATTAATAGGAAGAGACCGTAGAGAAAAAAGGAGCAGTAAGTTACCTGTAAACCCTGCGTGTTGAGCCTCTTGACACCCACAACCAATGGATCGCCTCGACCAGTGAGTGGCCTAATCGTTCCTTTATAAACACTACCAAAACCACCCTCGCCGATCTTCAACTTCCTATGGAAACCATCCGTTGCGTCCTTCAACTCTTCCAAAGAGAAGACCCTCAAATTCTGCTGTTTTTCTTTGTACAACTCTGGGATAGTCCTCGAAGACGAGAAGGATTTTGACGTCTGGCTGGAATCTGAATTTTCTTGCGGTTTGCTTCGGCTCCTTGATTCGGGAACAGAGTCTGATCCCCTCTTCTTGTTCTTTGATTTCTCTTTGAAGAAGATAGAGAAACACTTCATTTTCTAACAAAAAAAAAGAACTGGGACTCTGTTCCCCACATTCAAAAGCTCTTGCCTTGTTATATATATATATATATAGTATGAAAAAGACGGGAAGAAATGAGAGAGGAAGACTGGGTTTTGACTATGGAAAAAGTTTGACATTAGCCTATTAATAATTTTCTTGTTCAAAGTTCATTTTCTTTTGATGGACAAAGAATGCAGTACCAAATATCCATTCAACACGAAAAATGAATTAAAATAGAGGTAAATTACACCAATCATCACTGAACTTTCTTTTCTGTCCTATTTTACTTATTATACTTTAAACAGTTTAATTTCCTCACTGAACTTAATACGTTGTATTTTTTGGTCAATCCGCCGTTAAATAGTTAACTTCGTTAGTAAGGAAATGAAGGAGTGATCAAAAAACCCAAATGTATTAAGTTCAGTGAGAAAATTGAATGGATTTAAAGTATAGTGAGTGAAATTGGAGACAGAGTAGAGTTCAGTAATGATTAGTGTAATTTACCCTTAAAAGAAATAATGTAAACTACCCGAAAAGTTCTTAAACTATTGGTTTGAATCTATCTCGACTATTAAATTAAAATCTTATCAATTAAGTCATTAAACTTTGAATTTGATTTTAATCAAGGCATTAACTATTAATTGTTAATAGAAAAGGTAAACTGCGTATTTAGTATATAAACTATCAGTTTTGGTCTATTTTAGTGCATAATTTTTTTAATTTTCAAGACATATTTAACGTTTAATTTTTGTTTACTTTTAGTACCCACTGTTAAAACTTAACGCGTTTGGTACCTAAACTATCAGTTTCGGCATGTTTTAGTACCTAAACTTTCAAAAAAAATCAAACTTAATGTTAAATTTGTAACATGGGTGCTAAAATGAAACACAAACTATATTTTAAGTATGATTTTGAAAAAAGTTGAAAGCTTAGGTACTAAAACGGGTCAAACTGATAGTTTAGATACTAAAAGCGTAATTTATCCTAGAATTACTGATGTAATAGTTAAGTAAATTTATAATAGTATATTTAATTCTTATTATTCATAAATTTTATTAATTTGACTCTACTGTTAATTAGAAATAATTAAATGTAATCCTATAAGAAAAAATGGCAACCAAATTAATAGAAGTCTACTCAAAAAGGGAAAATCAGAAAATATTAAATTTAAAATAATTTAAGATAATAAAATTTTTAATCGATCTATTAGAAAGTTCATCGAACGGTTCAAATTCTATATCTATATTTATAATGGTATCAGAAATAAAATTTTATTTATATATCAGTTAACCTGAAGTTAAAACGGAATTTTCAATTTATAGCTCTAATTTTACAAGTTAATAAAAATAGGGGAAAGTATACAAATAGTCCCTGACTATAGGATGATATTTTGTTGAGTCCCTTGACTATTAAAAGTTATAAAATGATCCTCCGAATATAGAGTATCGCTTTATTGAGTTCCTCAACTATTAAAAGTTACAAAATGGTCCCCCAACTATTCATTATACTCCAAATTCATCCATTTCCGTTAAAAATGAAGACAATATGAGCTAAACGTTAACTTATTGACTGTAATATGATAAAAGTCGGTCCGAGAATCTCAGACGACTACCATATCCCAGTCATCATAACATAAAAGGACAGGTTTGAAACATAATGAATAGTCGGGTGATCGTTTTGTAACTTTTAAAAGTCGAGGGAGTTAAAAAAGTAACAATCTATAGTTGGAGGACCACTTTATAATTTATAATAGTCAAGGGAGTTAAAAAAGTAATAATCTATAGTCGGAGGAACACTTTATAATTTATAATAGTAAAAAAAAGTAACAATTTATAGTCGAAATATCATTTTTTAACTTTTAATGATTGAGGGATTTAATAACAGAATATACTATAGTTGGAGGACCATTTGTGAACTTTATATGAATTTTTAATAAATCAAATTGGTTGTTATTAATCTGACGCGTGAAACAATGACATTTAACCTTACCATTTACAGAAGTCCAAGAGGCAACTGGTTTGAAGTAATTGACATTTGAATTCAACAGAACTTCCATAGACTTTTGTTGTATAAATTAGTAATATAATTTTATTATTTAATTAAAATTTATTATAAATAAGTCATTAATCATTAAATAATATATAGAAATATAATTTAATATAATAGTCATTTAATGATAACGTTTATATAAACTAATCAAGTAACCTCAATGAATAAAAGAAAAAGCTATCGTCTCTTGAAATTATGAGTTCGAACAACCATATCTATAGACAGAGCGTCGCTGAGCCTAGATAGGATGAGCATCTGCCCAGGGCCGCAATTAAATATCGATAAATTACATGCCTAGTATCTCAACTATACTTTTATTTCATTTTGGTCAATAAATTATTTCATTTCAAAATTATACATAATATTTAATTTTTGTTTCGTTTTAGTCATCAACCAATAAAAAATTAACGATAATGCTGACGTGTCACTATAAGATAAATGAAATATCATCATTAAATAAAATTTAGAAATGCCACATCAATAATTCTTTTCATTTTTAACGGTGTGTAACCAAATGAAACCAGAACATAATGTTATATATGATTTCATATAAAATTGTTGAATGAACAAAATAAAATAAAGGTCTAGCTTTTTTGTTTGTCATAAGGCCACGTAAATCTCGTAAACGGATCTGTCTACAGGATATGTATACATTATTATTAATTAAATAATTTTGAACAAATATTAACTTATAATCTCGTCTTAGGCTAATAAAAAATAATAAATTTTGAATTTACCAGTTCTCCTTTTGCCGACAGATTCTCCCCGTTCAAGCTGACTTCCTCGTCAGATTTTACCTTAAAAATACGACAAGGCGTGAACAAAATGCAGCAAAGACTGATTAAAACTGACTTAATGGAGTTCAATGCTTTGATTTGTTCAATTTATTTTAAAATTTAAAGACTATTTTGAGAATTTTAAAATTTTTAATGATCAAAATCAACATTTTAACATAATTCAGGTATTATTTTATAGTCATAAATTAGAAGACCTTGTTGATTTGGGTACTTGATGAGAGCCTTGTTCGCATAATTTCCTTCTAGGCTTTAGCTTTTGCACATAATGAACTCTTTCTTACAAGTGATACTGGATATAGGATACCGCGAGCACGAGGCGATACGCAGAGCGGCGGACTCCACACAAATCACGTAAAAAAACATTTCTCAACTAATGTATGCATGGACATGCTAAAGCCCATTACAAACTCCAACAATTATGTGGCAATCTCGTCAACTTCAGAATGAAAAATGAAGCTCGGAAATGTAGTCGTTATATCCCTGGACAATTCGTATCAAACGATGGATGAGTTCCCCCGTGAGATACGGTTTCTACTTAAACCGAGTGATTGTTGGTAAAAGAAACATACCTCAGGTATGGAAGGGTCATGATTTTTAAAAGTGATGGGTTCCGTGATACGAAGTTTTTCCATTCGGATATATCGATCTTTCCATCCTGATTCATGTCAGCGTCCAAGAATGTCTGCTCCCAAATTGCCATGGGTCAGTAAATAGTTGCAATTGCTGGACATGGTCGAAGATTTTCAATAGTATAGTGAAAACTAACTTTATGCAACCACACCAAAGCAAGCTCTCACCTTATCAAGAATCGCCTCGATGGTTTCATCGGCCAACTTCATTTCAGATTCACATAAAAGCGCAATCAGCATTTGCTTGACCTGCAAAACTCACACGAGAAAGTTGTCTGTAAGAAGTTCAGGTAAAAATGTAGTGGAATAAAAATATGAGTTGTATGCAACAATTGTAATCTTTAAAACCAGTTCTGCTCAAATAACAAAACATGCAAGTGCGGACATACCTCATTACGCTCGATAAAACCAGTTCCATCCATGTCATAAAGTCTAAATGCAACTGAAATGTAGAACAGTCGACTTAGAAAATAAGATGGAAGATTAACAAAATTTGGGAATTAAAGACCGTATCAACTGTTTACTTACAATCAATTTTGTCCTCTTGTGAGACATTTGGATGGAAGACATTGAGTGCTCGAACAAAGTCACCAAAATCAATGACTCCCTTCTTCTTCGCGTCAAATAAATCGAAGATCTGCATAAATAAACCAATTCAAATCTTTAAATTTTTCTCCAGGATACCCAATTCATAATTTTCATATTGGTATAGAAAAACTAAGGCTGGTTAAAATGCGCTACTCCAACTTGGGTAAGAAATCATGTAACACCTAATACCTATAATCATGCAGCCTAATTGCCCATTGCTAGGCATCACATGGCCATCCAACATAACTTAGACAGAACAAAGCAAAACGAAACTCGAAACTTGAAGTATCATTGAATTTCCAATAACAATATAAGGCAGCAAAATATATTACCCGATTTGCAAAAATGTTTTCCTTCTTCCTATTCTTGAACAAAGCTAATTGAAACTCTTCCTGCATATACGACAGAAGAGTTAGAAAGGCATCAAACTTTGCATGTAAATTTTCCAAGTTTTTTCATGTATTCAGAGGATTACATCCTCATAAATCCATGTCCAAAATGTGTAGGAGTTGAGTACAAATGCAGAAACTTCAAGAAAAACCGAAGTCAGAAGCAACACAATGGAGGAAGGCAAACAAAAAGGAAAGTCATGAAAACCATGCATAACATCATCAACACAGACGCACACGATATCAGGCATAGTAATCCTAATCTAGAACCACATCGACAGTACTGTACCTTGTTGATTAGCCCATCATCGATCACCGAACCGCTGATGCTCTTGAACAGTTCAAAGAGTGCTTCAACTTCACCAACACTAACTGCAGAAGAAAACCAATCAAGTACGTCAAATTCGGATCATATAAACAGGAAAAGCTCAGCAAACTACATAATCTATTCCAAGCTGAATAGAGTAAATGCAATGAACGAAGAGATAATAATTTGTAAAAACATACAAGCAGTTTCTGAAGAGAGAACAATGGGGACTTCGTGTCCGGGGTATTGCCTTGTTACTTTAGATTGAAAGCGGCCCATTTACTGGGAAAAAAAGAGAAAAGAAGAAAAAGAAACGAAAACGCAGCTGCTAGGCTAAAGCGACAAGGTTTTACCATGTTCTCCCAGCAAAACCATTTTAAACCCTGCATGTTCATCCGCAACATTAAAACTGAATTAGCTTAGAAACCAAAACGAAAGGGAAACAAATGTGGCAATTAAATCAAGCTAACAACTATCGAAATTTGAATAACGTAATTACAACTGAATCATAGATCTTCCATCAATGCAACGGCGAATACACATCAGAAACTTCTCCACGAAACAAACAGCATTAATAATCATTTACTATATATATATATATATATATATAAAAAAACAAAGAACTCAGGAACTTACAGATCGAAGAATTCGAAATTTCAGAGGAAACTTGGAAATCTGTTCTCTGAAACAATCCGTGAGAGATTATGAGAGAAGCCCAGAGGGGATTATAAAGGAACACAACGTGTTTGTTGAAAGGGAGAAGGCGACTGATTAATCTGACGGTCGAGATTGGTTTGATCCGATCAGAGGATTACGGTGCTCTCTTTTTCTTTTCAATTGTTAAAAAAAAAAAGCAGCGAAACGCCTGAAACGACCGGACTTTCTAGGAAAGGGATTTTCTATTAGAATAATTAGGGGAAAAGGGTTTTGATTTAAGAGTGAGGAGTACAAGGTCGGTTCACGTCAGATTTTTTATTATTTTTATAGAATATTTGTTAAATTTTATTATTATTAAAAATTATAAAATAGTTCATTGATTATAAAACGTTACTTTGTTAAGTCTTCGATTATTAAAAGTTATAAAATGATTATTCGATTATTTATATATTCAAAACTTGGTTTTTTCTATTAAAAATTGACGACAGTTTGAGTTTGACATTAACCTACTTACTTGTGATATGTTAAAATTTGATACTAAAATTTCAAAAGAGTATCGTATATTAATCAACAAGTTAACATCCAACTTAGACTATCATCAATTTTTTAATGAAAAAATAAGAGTATATAATATATAAATAGTCAATGATCATTTTATAACTTTTAATAGTCGACGGACTCAACAATTTAACGTCTTGTAAGGATCATTTTGAAACTTTTATTAGTTGGGACTTAATAAAGTAACACCTTGTATTTGGGGAACCATTTAATTAAAAATTATTTAATTACATCACGAGTCATGATCATTATTCTAAATCAGTCCCTAAACTTTTAAACATTTTAATATAGTATTTAAACTATGATTCTCGATCTAAATTTACTATTCAAACTTTTAAATATTCTAGTTGCATCTCTAAGATATGAATATCATTTTAAATTGGCCTTTAAATTTTAAACATTTTAATTTCATTCAAACTATCGGTATATACTAATCACATCCCATATAGTAAAACCGTTAGGCCAAGTTATATTATTACATGTTTGAAAAAAATGAGTTAAACTGTAATTTACATCAATTTTCATGTTTGAGTGAATTTGAGGATGAATATAAAAGATTCAAAAGTTTAAAATTTAATTTAATATAAACCTCAAAATTTGAGAATAATTAAAATATTAAAAAAGTTAAAAGATTAGTTTAAATTGAGTATTATAAATTTTTTTGTTGTCCTCCTGGTTTCATGGTTTTGTCTTGACTAATCTGGACCGACCCGCGTCGCACAGCTGACTTTGATGGATGAGTCTCCCATCAGAGATTTTTTGCATACATAAGAACTCAAACTCGATACCTTACTTAAACGATATAAAGTTGCTTACCATTTGAACCAACCATAGTTGGTAAATTAAGTATTGTAAATTAAAAACAAATAATATATTTAACTCTTAAAAAATCAAAACATGTTCCTAAAATTTGATTTCAATGTTGATAAAGTCAATTCCTAGACCGACCACATCATTCAATAAATCAAACGAAGAAAGTGTTTGTTACACATCTCAATCGCTAAATTGGTAGTTTGTTTGTTTGTTTTACTAAAAGATAGAAATTATTGAGGGTCCATTTTGATGAATATTGCTAGTTTAATATGTTAGTACATGTTTGGGAACATGGATGTGAGATGTTCGGTTTTGGTAGGTATCCTATCTTAATTCTCGAACAATTTAACGGGAATTCATGAAGAACTTCGATAACTACCGTTGTATTTATCGAATGTATATACATTATTAATAATTAAAAATTAGAAACAAATATTATCTTATAATTATCTATTATTATCTTATAATAATCTTATACTTGTAACAAAGAATACCATTTAATATATCCATCAGTGGCACAAATCAAATAGTCTAAAGGAATTGTTGTTATTTCTTGAAGACTTGAGTTCAAGTACCATAGATATTAGGAATACGAGTCTTTAATGTTAAAAGATTAAAAATTTAACTTTAAACATATATTGCTTTATACTTATCCATATTAATAAAAAAAATATTCGTCAGTATAAAGAAACAATTAATAATTAAATATAAATAGTGCATCCAACTCCAAATCAGAAGGTTGCGTGTTCGATTCACGTCGGGTTCAAATTCCCTGTCCTCGATTGATCCTATTATTTTGGGCTCCCGTCCGAGAGCACTTGATTACATTTGTACGCAACTCTTTTATGATTTATTGCCATTTTTGTTATGTTTCCATTGATAAGCGCAGCATCTCTAGGAATGATTAGAAAAATGAATGGTCGTTACTTCTTTATAAACAAATTTAATTAATATATATATTCGAGACACACAAATTTATGCATTTATTAAATACGTGTAGAATGGCGTTTTCATATTAGCGTTATAAACTACTTCAAAAAGGAAATTAACACGTCGAGACAACTCAATCCCGGGCCATCGTAGTCGGGGATTTAAACAGCAATCTAATATTAAAATAACAATTATAAGTTCCATCCGAAATTATTATTGCATAATTATGAGACAATAACTGTAATAACATCAATTATTATCATACTCACGATAAATACAATATAACAGAATCAAGATATAACCCCTAATCTGAATTTTGATCCGTGACAATGTCATTGCAGGAATAATGTCACGAAGAGTCGCCAGTGAATCAGCAGCTTCGGACCAAACAACTTGCCGATGCACAGGAAGCAAATATAAAAGCAATTGTCCAGCAAATCACGGTAGGTGCGGCCAAAGTTGGTGAGTTTCGTCGCTGGAAAAACATAGCTAAGTGAAACCAGAAGACTTCAACTTGGAGATGGAGGTACGACAAATCGATGGTTACCCACTTTCCTCATCATTTATTATATATTTGCTCCATCAGTTAATATATGAGGATTATGCCTTTCTCGTCGACTTTATTCTACTATAAAAGGTACATTCTTTAATCTCAGTTTTTCGTATCTATTTGGTGAAACTGATTATTCTGATTGTTGTTAAATTTCACTCAAGAAACTTGCTACTGTCTTGAATCATACATGCTAGCATTATTTGAGTCGAGTACAGAAAATACTTATGTACATTAATATGGCGATTTAGTAAAGAGAGCAAGAAACAAACTTGTATTGACAACTAACTTCATGTTACATGAGTGGACTCTCTCAGCTTCTGCTCTCCAACTTAGTCTCTCCCCTTCTTTCTCTCGCTCTTCTCCACCGAATTTTTCAGCTGACACACAAGAATGATTCCATTGAAGAAATTAAAGGAAAGCTTGACTTACCATGATTACCGAAATGCGGACAAATACGGCTACGATGTCGGTGAAAAGGCTCAGGGCATGCTTCACATAGTCCAGGTCACCCAAGTGTGCCTTCTAAATTATCTCCTGCGTGTCAACTATCATGCAGCCCACAAACACCAAGAGTCCTAAGTAGATCTGTAAGGACAATCAACGGCAAAGGAAGAATGACAATGGAAGCTTCAAAATATTACAACACCAAGGACAGTTTCAAGCTAATACATTCACTTGCCTCGAACATAAATGGTGCTGTGGAATCACCAAAGATAGAGGAAGCAAAATACAACCACGGAAGCATGGACACACCAGATGAAAGCAAGCCACCGAGATAAAGGAACTCTCGGTGCCTTGCTAACATCGCTGCTCCTGAAAAACATGCAAAGGCCAACGCTGTTCCCACAAATGCAGCTACCAAAACAGTCATAACGGTAAAAGTAAACAAAAATTAGGCTTCTAAGTCATCAATCAAGGTTAATATTAGCTTAATATTAGCCTCCCAAGGTGAATGAGCATGATACCGATTGACGCCCCTCTTTTGCTGAAGAATTAACAATAGCAAAACAATAGATGAGTACTTCTAAGCAACACAAAAAGAACCATAATCATCTAATACAAATAAAGAAAGATTATTACTCGTTCGTAAGGAGGGGTGGAGAGGAGCCAATAAATGGTTCCCAAGCATGCAGATGTGGTGAGGTAACCCCCTAATGTTCCAAAGGATGTGGAGATAACCTCCAACAGCAGAGGCTACCAGTGCACAACATAAGGTCAAGTAAACCTGCAAATTAGAAACGCTATGCTCAGATAATCAAGAAAACAGAATTTTGATAAACAAATTGCATTAAAAATAAACGATAAAAACCACGATAAGCATTTCATAGTCATATAAAGATGAGAACTGTAATTCGTTATCAGTCATGGAACTCAAGAAAGAAGCAATCCAGCGTGCAGAATCATACTTAGCAAATTAGACGCAAATTCAAAGAAATCAAGCTGAAAGGTTACAACATAATCTGAGAAATTAACTTAGCCTAAAAAAAAGCTTAATTTAAGGAAAGATTAACTGTTTGAGATGAGTTTGGACGATGGGAGAGATCTGACGCAAATTCTTGAGAGTATTGTTACTCCAATTGCTTCTCGATTGGGAATCGAAGAATGAAGAGAATGCATACAACAACAATAAAACCCAATTCCCATATGCAATGGAGTAGGGGGAGGTAGGGTAATAGGTTGCCCCCAACGCCAGGTTGATAATAGCTTCCGTGGAAGACCTCCGGCACTCAGAAAATTAAAAATATAGATAAAATACAATGCATGTATAAATAAATACAAAAATACATAGTTAAACAATATTCATATGCAGTTATTAATATCATTAATATCATATGCGCGTCTGTAATGGGCAATAATCCCTGCAAAAAAAAAATCCCTGCGAAAAAATCTCTGTATATAGACAGAAACGTAAGATCCGACTAAAATTAAAAGTGGAGAGAATGATACACAGAAGTCAAACGATAGCAAGCCCAGGCCTTCATAAATACCGATAACAAAAACGAATAAAAAGTAGAAGTCATGGAAATTACTACAAAGGCATTAAAAGAAGACAGAGATGATACACCCTAGAGATGTGACCCACACTACTCGACTATCCTAGTTTTAAGTCTCCATACTTTCCTATCAGAAGTCATGTACTCGGTAAGGGCTAAATCTATTAAATCAGATCTCAAGCAGTCTTCCTACTTCTGCCTTGGTCGTCCTCTCCTTCTGGCACCTTCGATTGTAATCGACTCTACCCTCCTGACCGCATCTGACGGTAGTCGCCTAAGGACATGTCCAAACCACCGTAGTCTTCATTCCCTCAATTTTTCGGAAACAGACACCACCCCCAAGGACATCCTAATAGCAGAGTTTGTTGTCATATCCCACAGAGTCCTAGTGCATATCCATCGAAGCATTCTCATTTTTGCGGCCTCTATCCTCCTTACATGATCCTTCTTGGTTGCCCAACATTCTAATCCATACAACAACGCTGGTCTTATTATCATTCTATAAAATTTTTCTTTAAGTTTTAGATATATCTTTTTGTCACACAAAATTCCCGTAGCTGGCAACGTGGATAATGGTATTTATAAGGGTCGTTAACGTGTTGTTAAGTTACTAGTAAGCCTCGTATTTTTCACATAACTTAAGGGGCAATTGAGGAAATTGGGTAGGGCAAGTGTTCTGGAAAAACGGAGACAAATCTTTCGGATGCGGATGCACTGCGTCATGTGATCCAATAGAAAACTGCCACTTCATCTCAGTGCCAACATCATCAATGGCACTTCCAGGAAATACAAATGATACTGCGACGTGTTTCATTAATCTTATCCTTCTACAACTCAAAATATCATTCCGGAACAAGGTAGTTAATATTAATTTGCTTATGATATTGTTGCATATAAAAAATATTTAATATTTTATTTTCTTAGATTTATTATTTTTAAATATTTTCACTCATATCACATAAAAAGAAGGATAAATTACAATGAATACTTTTCAATTTTAAATTACTACATTTTTTTATTAAACTTTAAATTATATGGTCATTTTTGTTATAACTTTAAATTGTTTTAGTTTTAGTTTTAATTTTAGATTTAGTTAAGTTATGAGATCGGCAAATTATTAACAACAAAAGATATAATTATTTTTTTCATGTAAATTTTAATTTAGGTATTATTTTTTCACCAAAATTTAATTTAAGTATCAATTTAATCCATGTAAAAAATTATTGAACTTCTTCAGCCACCATTACAGGTGATCATCATCTATCACCAATTATTCACAGCAATTTCAACACTAAAACATTTGATTTCATTTCATTTTATTTTATTTAGATTAATTTTTCACAAAATTCATCTAAATTCATCTAAAAGTTCGATATTCTAATGTCCCGATATCCTCCAAAAATCATTCAAGAATATTAATCTTGAGATATATTATTCGCCTTCTCAAAGAATATTTTCCACATTCGCCTTCTCAAAGAATATTTTCCACCATTTGAGTTTTGAATAAACTCCCCTTAAATAAAAGAAAGCCATAAAACCCCCCAAAATAATGAGCATTATAATTCAATTATATAAATATATATAAAAAATAAATTAAATTACTAAATAAGACCAATATATTATTTTTAAATGTAATTATAAAAATAAAAAATAACTCAGATAAAAATGTTAGATTTAGTCTGAAATATTAAAATCTTATGACAACTAATAGTAACCTTACGTTAGCTATTAGATTTGCATTTTTTTCTATTTCTGGTAATGCATTTATTCACACAACTTGAACATCAATGATGAAATACATTTACATCAGTTGACTGCAGAAAAGATTACAAACCTTTCGTGATCCTTTTTCTCAGAGTCAAAGCTGATTCCCTTGCTTGAACGCCCTTTTCTTAGGTTTCCATGTATTGAAGCCAAGAACTCATGCTTAAGAGCATCCTCTGCTGTAATCCTCAACCTCGGGTTCACTGTTAAGCACTTGTCCACAATATCGTAAGGTGAGCTCGGTATCTCCGAAAGGAAGTCTCGTCTCTTCGTATTCATTTCGCTCCACTCCCTTAGATTCACAGATATTGAAGATTGCTTACCATAGAGCTCCTACATCAAAATTGGAAATCTTGAATGAGACGCCATAATTTACTTCTGAATAGATTATAGTTGCAGATCATGCGTTATAATTGTATTTATACCTCGGGAAATGCGGGATCACAATTATGTAACTTGGCAACTTCCCAAAGATCCTCACTGCCTCAGTTTTGCAATATCCTTTATGTTCCTGAAAGTGCCAAAGGTGTTGGCAACATAAGTAATCAAACAGAAACTGGATTGAGCTGCTTCGGTTAAAGAAATCTTACTGTTCAGGATCACCGGTAAAGGGACATTTCCCAATTATTAGGTAGAGTAGAGTGACCCCAGCAGACCAGACATCAATCTTTGGACCTTGATGTTGAGATCTGAACAAGACCTGCACAAACCACTCAACTTGAGGCATCCATTGAAATAACAATATCAATTGTCAAGGAGGGCATAATCGGAATCTGAAAATACAATGTTTCAGCTAGCCACATCTTTCTGGTTACCAAAAAACAAGTTTCTTTCTTTGGACGAATGGCTAAAATTGGCATAGATTGCTAATATTTTTTGCTTTTGGACATGCTTTTAGCTTTTCTAATATTGAATCAACTCATTAGAGCACCGGCAGAAAGCTCCGAATTCTCTACCTCTTAAGGTTTTTTTCTTTTATTGTTTAAAATCAAAACATAAATTGAAGTTTATAGTTTGCTACCTCTGGAGCTCGGAAGCCTTTGGTTCCAGCACAAGGACCTTCTTTCTTATGCTTCCCATCCCCTGAAAGTGAATATAATTTGATGAGTCTACTAAGGAAAATTACTCTTTCTAACCAAATTTTCACACTTTACCTGAAAAAACTTGCCTTTGTTCTTAGATAAGCCAACACCAGATATTGTCAAGCTAATTGAATTCAAAGGCATTGGAGTAGGATGAAGAACATGTCTATCCGTTTTTGCTGGAGAAGCAGCAACTCGCTTTCTCATGGGAGAAGGAACATGTGACACTCCAGGTTTGGGGGTCTGCATTGCTTCCTGTGCCAGACTGATTAGCTCTTTCCTACCTTGGCATAGCAAAGGTTCTCTGAATCTTTCTGATGAAGGAGTCCTTGCACTTGCGTCCTTTGCTGAGGAAATACCTGAACCATCTGCACCCTGACTATTTATTTTATTTCAACTACTCAAGTCGTTATGAGGAGCCTTCCTTTGAACTGATGTCTTCCTCGTGTTCTTAGGCTCTAAAGTTAACCTGGAGCCTTTTGTTGCCTCTATATTGATTCCCTCCCTTGATTTCATATTTATAAACTTGCTGCTATCTGTTGGGTGAATGGCTTTGGGAGGAACAGTATTTCGAGGACTTAAATCATATCCCAACTTTGATTTGTCTGTGAAATACATAAGAATGCCACATCAATCATAAAATGATAATCAGGAGGTACAAGGTAGCTAGAACAGGAAACTTTGAAGGCAAAAGAATACACAATGGAAAGCAAGACCATTTGATTGTAACGGAACAAACAACAAACTAAACATTTGAAACACAGTAGATCAGTTATTCCGATGATAAGGAGGGCTGCAGCAAGTAGTTAACAGCCAGCTTATAACTCTCTCCTTTTCAATTCTTATGGATATAGAGGACAGACAAGAAAACAAAGACGTGTAGATGTTTCTCTTCATTTCCTACAGTAAGAAAGTAATAAAATTCTCAATTTCAAGCTCCAGAAAGAGGAACTAACCCGTACTCCTGTACTTTTGATGCATTTCCTGTCAAAACAGAAGAAACAAAAATAATGGTCCTCAAATTGGAGCACAAAAATATTGGAAAGAAAACATTGTAACGGCCAATGACATAATAATGGAAGGTTGTTACATAGCTATACTTACCATAGCAAGATTGAAATCAATAAGATAACCTTTGTTGGTATTACGAGAGAAAAGAAAATTTCCTGGTTTGACATCTCTATGAATTATTCCCTGCAGATGCATAAAGAGACATTAAGAACATGTAATTTTTTCGATAGATGTATCACATTTAGAAAATCATATACCTGTTTATGAAGATTTGCTAGAGCTTTGAACAGGCAAAAAGCATACCACTTTAACTGAAAACATCGATTTCTTTTTTCAACACCTGATAAACGAAACAAACTCACCGTCAAGCAGAAGAAAAAACAAAATATGGCTTCTAAGAATCTAATAGTTACCTCAGGTCTATCATGCTCAACATACTGCAGAACAAAGCAATCAGAATTCTCACTGCTAACACATCCTTCATATCGTATTATAAAGTTTCTGCCCCTGATATTGACAAAGAAAAGTATGGAAGATTGGGGGAGGAGGAAGGAGAGCTTAACAAAAACTGCTTCACTTTTATGAACAAGGTTTTGTTTAAAGTGAAACAGACATTTTCTAAAATACTTACCCAAGACGCTCCAGCATTTTCAGCTCATTGTTAACATAGTTCTTATGAGCATTGGCATGAGGACCTGCAATGAGATAAATAAGTAACATAACATCGGGGGAATGAACCATACGTGTAATACAATAAGAGTCCTCTTTGCAGCACAGCAATGCAATCACATGTATGAATTTTCCTATTACATTTAAGGGCAACTAAAGCTCCATCATTCTTCCTTCGAGCTCTGTACACAGTGCCATAACCACCTGCCAATTAAAGTTTCACCTTAGCCAGTTAATAAATCATCTTAATTATAAGCAGAACAACTGTGATGTGATATGCAAGCAAAAAAAAATTGAAGCTATGATACCTGAACCTTCTTCCTCTTCTACTATATACGATTCAAAGTCAGGTAATACTTTTGGCTTTGCCTGATCCTAAAGCAAGCATAGATCAATATTTAAGTTATAATTAAAATGATGCACAGCAGCCAACTCAGGCTCGTTGAATACCGCTTGCAAAAATGAAAACAATAGAACATCAAACATGAGACAAAAAGCAACAAATGGCGAAGTGAGCTTACCCGAAAAGAAATAGACGTAGAGTTACCCCTTCTCTCTTTAACATTTATATCCTTTGGGTTCTGAATTGATTTCTGTGTTGCCCGGGATGGTAAATTATCTTTTACACCGTGCCTCCTCCTTTTGTAAGTACTGACAACATTGGTACCCCCTAAAGGCTTGTTCAGGGTCTGCAATACTGGAGGCACAACATGCCTTTGGTTAGCCTTTGCTTTTGCAGGTTCTGTCAACTGTTCTTCCGTAACAGAATGCATAACACTAGCTGCTGCTGGTATTATCTCACATTCCTCACCTAGGGATGGCATCTTATTCAAATCTATTTCAGGCGGTATATAAGAAAGGTTGATGTTAAATGAAGGAGAAAGATCTTCCACTTCTTGTCTTCTACTTATCAAGTCAATTTCTCCTCTTTCTTACCATCTTCCATAGCCACTTCATCGTCAGCAATTATAAAATCTGTAACGGTAAAATCCATATGAAATTTTCCACCTGACGCCACTGACATATTGCTCTTCTCAGCAAACTCCATAAAGTTTATACCGTTGAGTTTAACAGCCTCGGATTCAATCTCATAAACTGGTTCTCCAGTTAGAAAGATTGGTTCTACAATTGACTCACTAGCAACCAATTCTTTACTGGCATTTCCTAGCACATATTCTGGCACGTTTACCTTGCTTTCTATATTTTCACTGCCCTCCACTTCACGGCTTAATTGTCTAACACCAGATTCAGCTAACAAAAAAGAGTTCATCTGAGTGTTTTTTACCAAGACCAAAGGACTACTCATTCTGCTGATATCATCCGTTAACTGGTAACGCGCCTGAAATTTTTATTTTTGATAAATTAGTCTTTGGAGACTATAAAATGATTTTTTTATTAAGTTAAGGTGATTAAGTTAAGTATATTTACTTGATGGCGTTTCCAAATCGAAGGTCTACAATTGTCATCATAAACTAAAAAAACTGTTGGATCAGATCGGTCTAAAAGATACTACAACATTACAATTCCATGGAGTTGATATACAGATCTATTGTGAAAAATAAGCTCAAATAATACCTTAGTACAATAATTTCGAATTCTCTTAACCGAAGGAACCAACTCCCTTTCCTCCTTGTCATCAGAAAAATTAGCAGCTGAAAAATAACATAAAGTTCAACCAAGGAAACACAAAACACGAAATTACACTAAAAAAGAGAGTGAATATATATATATGAACGCCCATTTTTTTGGAATTTACCGAAACGATTCCTCTCGCGAAGCCATATATTCGGAAAACTACCGAAACGGATCGGCAGTGAAGTGAAAGGATTGGCGACAGTGAAATTTTGAGCTAAGTAAGCGGCGAAAAATGAAATTCCAATTGAAGATATAGCAACGATATGCTTGTCGTCCGAGATAGTAATTGGAGAGTTTGGGATGGAAAAAAGCGAGGATATGATGGCGGGGCTTGCCGCAAAGAGAGTGCACCGGGTAGCGAGTTCCGGGAGAGGGGTGGGCTTGCCGATGAAGACGAGAAGAGAGGAAACATGCCAAGCCTTTTGAGACTTGGTGGCTGAGAGGCTTAGTGACTCGGCGAGTTGATCCGAGTTACCTTTCATTGTGGTTATGGACGTAGAGAGAGAAGCGGGGGAACAAGGGAGGGAAAGAGAAATGTTAGGGATTGAAAATTGAGGTGTTTTACTGAAAATTTTTGGGACGATACTGAGATGGGCGGGAATCCGGAACGTGACGGAGATTTTAATATTTAACACGTGCAAGTTTCCCGCCAGTGGTCGCGCCTGATAACATGAACGAGTGTATTCGTAATTTACTTTAGGTAAATTACACATTTAATATTTAAACTATCAGTTTTAGTCCGTTCTAGTATCTAAATTATTAATTTTATTTCATTTTAGTATCTCATCATTAAAAACTTAACTTGTTTAATACCTAAAATATCAGTTTTTATCCGTTTTAGTACCTAAATTTATTTTTTCAAAACTTAACGTTAAATTTTGAATGGATACTAAAATGAAACAAAAATAAAATTGTAGGTATGATATTTTAAAAAATAAAAATTTAAGTACTAAAACGAGTCAAAACTTATATTCAAATACTAAACTCGTAATTTACACATTTACTCCTCTTTTTCATCATTAAAAAGGTTTACTTTCATTTTACTTTTTACTCAAAACTCGATTCATTTTTTTTTTAAATATCTATCATTTTATAATCAAAAATAAATCTTATAATAATTAAATCTATAGTAATATATGATATAATAATCTAAATAATAAAAATATAAGATATTACTTTATTGAGTCCTCTAAGTATTAAAATTACAAAATAGTCTCTCAACTATAAGATATTACTTTTTAAAGTCTCCTTATTATTAAAAATTACAAATTTGTCACTCAATTATTCATTGTGTTCCAAACTTGTCCTTTTTTGTTAAAAAAATATGGTAATTTGAGTGGGACGTTAACATGTTGATTGATATATGATATAATCTGATCTCATAATCTCAAACGGCTATCATTCCCAGTCAACAGGTTAATGTCAAACTCAAACCGCTATTAATTTTAAACGAAAAATGACGAGTTTGGAACACAATGAATAGTTAGATGACTATTTTGTAACTTTTAATAGTCTATAGACTCAAAAAAATAACATCCTCTACATATAGAGTCATTTTGTAACTTTTAATAGTCTAGAGACTCAATAAAGTAATACCTATAGTCGGGGGACCAATTGTATACTTTACCCTATGTAATATTTTAAAAATAAAAAAATACATATGAGCTAAAAGTAACTATACAAAATGTCCTTGTATGTCATAACTTCTCATTCGGAATGGTGACGATGATCTTTAGTGTATGCATCATGATCCTCCTCATGTGAAGGAACTACAACGACAACTTTTGTTCCTTTCTCATAAACTAAAATCGTTTTCCTCTAAATCATCCCATTTTGAGAAAAAAATGGTAAATTACGCATTTAGTTTCTAAATTATCAATTTTTTAGTACTTAAATTTTTAAATTTGTTTAAATTATATCTAATGTTTATTTTTTTTTAGGTATGACTCATAAATATATCGGTAAAGATGACAGAGGATGGAGCGGAGTGAGCGAAGTGAACATCGTTTGTCCTTACAAAGAAAGTCTCGTAATGGGGGTTACGATTATGTGGGTTGCGGTTGCGTGGTACGGTACAAGGTTATTTTTGTAAATATGTACGATGGTTTATTTATTATAAAAGGAGATGTAACCAAAACCTATAAGACATTGAATAAAAATTCTAGCGCCGTCTAGGACACCGAGTACGTAAGCACATTGTTGAACCTCGTTAAAATTATTGTGTTCTTTCATTTTTCTTTACCCGATTATTCAACAGTTTTTGTTTTATTTTAGTACCCACCGTTAAAATCTTAACGCGTTTAGTACCTAAACCATTAATTTTGAACAATTTAGTACATAAACTTTCAAATTATTTCAAAACTTAACGTTAAATTTTTAACATGATACTAAAATTAAACAAAGACAAAACATTAGGTATGGTTTTGAAAATATTGAAAGTTTAGATACTAAAACAGAGCAAAACTGTTAGTTTAGATACTAAATGCGTATTTTACCCCAAAAAAATCCATGTTGGGCTTTAACGTGTCATTTTTTGAGCACCTTTCTACCTTGACGACATAAAACTGTTCGTTCGACAACAAATAAAATTAGGCACCAATTTCACTTCCACGATCACCCCCGGCTTCCTCGACACAGATTAACACGACTTGTCTGCACCATTCGATCTCCAGATTCTTACTTCTGGCATTCATCTCAAGACATGGGTCTCGAGGAATTTTCTCCACAACAAAAGGTCTACCGGGAGAATGTTGCAGCTAACCCCAATTGAGTATTCTCTGCATTCGAAAAGAGTTACCTGATAAACATTGTTAGATACAACTGTCTATAATTGATCAATTGTACCGAGAGTTCGAACCGATACGAAAGTGATAGTCATCGTTCTAAGTCGATAACTGTTAACGTTAGTGTTAGTTTAGCCGAACATAGAGCAGTGAGGAGAACAGCGGATTATGTTCATCAAATCCCTGACGAGTCTTATGCTGGAATCATTGGACACAATCTCGAACAACTCTCTCGCAAGTGTATCTTTATTCCACCCTACAACTAGCCAACCTGAATATTCTTCCTTTTTTTCCTTCGTGTAGTATTTATATATAGAGAGAGATACTTTAGGGACAACAACTAAGCTATGACTGTGGCTTGCCATCCCGGGAAAGCTTGTGAATGGAACAGGTTACATCCTCACTAAAATGTGATGGTATTTATATATATGTTTTGGACCTGAATAAGTTCTTATTTAATAGATCTGATATTCAAATTATCCGAATTGTTTGATCAAGGCTGATTTTGATGTACCTAACGTACTATGACTACATCCGTGGGTTCCATGTAGTGATTAGCACTCTGGTCTTTGAATCCAGCGACCTAGGTTCGACTCCCGGTAAGACCTTTCTTCTGCACTTTAGCAGTCTGTTTTATGGTTCATTTTGAACATTTTTTCCTTCTGTCTCGTTGATTCCAAAGGAAGCACATGGATCTGAATTGAGGTTTGGTCAAAACACATATTGAAACCAGATTTGGTTTAAAACAAACTTAAATGACCAAAATAGAATTTCTATAAAAATTTGATGACTATTTATATAGTTTGCCCTATATTCTCACATCATTAATTAGTGACCAAAATACATCTTTTTAACCTAAAAATTTTATTTCGACCGTCTTATGGCTTCCCCTTAATTGGAATGGAGAAATCTTTAACCTAAATAAATTATGCCAAAAACTAACTACAATAAATAAATTATCACCTAATTTTATATTTAATTTTTTTTTAGATAATTTCATTTTATTACCCAAAGAAGCAGAGTTTTTCTACAAAAACAATCAACAACCTGATTACATATGAACATCCTACTTACAAAATCAAAACATCGGTTAAATTATACCCCAATGATTACAAAGAGTAATATTGACACTATATAGTCTATTTATGTTTCTACCTCTTAATTGTATACCTACAATTTCCTTAATAGCTTTAAGAATATCATCAACATTTTTTGAGCAGCCTTGGAACCATGGTTTTCAGAACCGGATCGGTTAACGAACCGATCATGCTATCGGTTCACTGGTTCAACCGGTAGAATCGGTTCGATCGGTCGGAAGAACCGGACAACGTCATAATTATTAAAAAAATTAAATAAAAAATACCAAAAATATTTAATAAAAAATAATTTTGTATATCACAAGTCATATTCAAAGCAAGTCATAACATATATGAGTTAAAAACCATAAAATCAAGTGAAACAAAATGATTCAAATTAACTACAACATAATATTTAAGATAAAACATATTAAATAATAAATATAATTATATAACTATAATTAAAAAATAAATTTGGGGCTAAAAAATTATAACAAAATGATATTGTTTGGTTTAATTTTTTTTTTAAAAACAATCTCACATGGCTAAGAAACATAGAAGAACATCCCAAAAGTCTAAAGAGTAAAAATATGAGAACAAAACAATCCACATGGCTAAGAAACATAGAAGAGCATCCCAACTAACTTCTATAAATAATAGATGTAATTTGACATTCAAAATCATGGAGTCTTTTGGTAAGCATAGAGTGAACTATTCTTTCACTTCAATCAAACTCGAATTTTAGGCTTCAATCGTGCTTCAAAATTTTTTTTTAGTTCAAGCCTTTTCGAGTTCAAGTTTCAATATTATATTTCGAGTTCGAGTTGAGCTTACTTTAAAAGTTTGAGTCGAGCTCAGCAATACTCGAGTTCGACTTGGCTTGTTTAACAAACGACGTCGTTTGGTTTAATTTAAAAAAACAAAACAAAATTGGCGGTTTTTCTCGGTTTTCAGTCAGTCCGGTTCGAACGGTTCAACAGTTCCGACCTGTTCACTAATAGCGGTTCAACCGGTTTAGTTTGAACCGGATTAGACAACGATTCCCGGTTGAATCGGCCGGTCCGGTCCGATTTTCAAAACAATGCTTGGAACAACCTTCTGTTTCTCTCCTCCCACAGAGTGTAAGTTAATGCACACCAAGCAAGCATCAAGATTGTTGTGAGTAAGACTTACCTTTCCAATCACCACAGACCCAAACTAACAGATTCTCCCATGACAAAGATTTTCTCCTCAAGCCGTTTAGGATCAACACACCCTCCCATAAAGAAGCAGCCAAAGGGCACTATAGAAATAAATGATCCCTTGTCTCCAAAGCTTCATTGCAAATAACACAATTTCCATCAGTAACAAGTCCCATACGTTGTAGCATTTCCCTTGTTGGAAGTCTGTCCAATAATGCCATCCAAGCAATCATACTATATTTTGGGATGTGGAGAGAAAACCATATCAATTTATGCCATGGAGCTTCGGCACCCTTCACCCAAATCTCTTTACATATTTCCCCTACCTTCTTTGCTCCAATAGATAAAACAGGAAAAGCCTCAATCCTCAGTTTAAGAATTTTACTTAAGCATCAGTTAGTATTTACTCCAACTTCCATGTGCCAAATAAAATTATAAATAACTGAGCTTTCATTATTAAATTTAAAATACATCAAATTAAAAATAAATTTATTATAGAATTAACTTTTTCTCTATAAAATTTTGAGAGCATACCCAACAATCTCGGTGGTTAAAGGGATTTATATTATTCTTTGAAGTTGAGATTTTGAGTTAGAACACGATATTTATACGGGTGTATGAGCGTTTATGTCAAATGATTGAGAGTCTTTAAAAAAAATAGAATTTATTCTTTCAAATTAGCAGGTATTGCTCATTTTCTGCCATTGTTTCTACAATCGTTTGTTGATTTCTTTGATCGAAAAATCATTGAACGTCACTTCTTTTTTTATATTTTTTCTTCGATTCAAACTTGAAAAAAATCTCCAAATTTCAATTGAAATTAAAAGTTAAACCTTTCTAATATAAGGCAATTAATAATTAAATTATATTAAAATCAAAATATGTTACTCTTTTTGCCAAACAAAACTTTATCGTTTTATAAATCTTTTTGTTGTTGTTTATTATCCATTATTATTGATAGTTATGTTTATAGATGGTGATCGAAAGAACATCAATAAAAATTACAATAAAAAGATCGTAACGATTGTCAATATATAAGAAAAACTTTGTATTTTTTTTTTAGGATTTTTAACGTGCCATGCAAGCTTTTTTTAGTGGAAGCTAACACCAGTGATCTTAATGAAATAAATTAAAAGTTTAATTATTAAAATACAGGTTTCAAAGGTTTTATGACCAAAGTGAAAACTATTTAAAAGTTAAGTGACTACTAGTATAGTTTACCATTAAATAAAAAAAATAGTAATTAATAAAACAAAACAAAATTCCAACAATTTTGGCTCTTTTATTTATGACAACAACAAACCAACACGTAGCTTTTGCTTCTTCGAATTGTCCTTCCATCTCGCGGTAACCAAACTTCCTCCCTATTTCTTTCTCCGGCGACGATCTCAAATCATCGGTAAATCTCACTGTAAACGCCCAATTACTCGTCACGTTCTTCATCTTCGCCGACAGCTCGCGTTTCAGTTTATTCTAACTCGGCGTCATCATGAACCCCGAATAGTAAGTTCCTATTTATTTATTTTTCTTTTCCGAATCTTAGGAGAAACCTTTAAATTTTTAATTTCCGTTTGAATTCATGTTAAATTAGTTCTTTTAGTTTATTTTTCATGGATCTGCTCGCTTACTCTATTGTTTCTTTGTTTCTTTCGTTATATTGATTATTCATTCGCTTTGTGAATTAGATCCGATTGATTTCTGTTTCAGATCTGTTTATTGATTTTACAGCTACAAAACCTGGTGATGGAATGATAATTGTAGCTAAAATATGTGATTTATGGAAGTGATTTCTTAAGCTAGTTAACACTTAATGGAGATTTTTAATATGTATAAAAGAAATTTAGGCTCAAAGATGGAAATAATCAAATGAATATTGATTGAGTGTTGCTGTTCTCAAGTCATAACAAGGAGCTTGGTTGCTTTATGAGTTTTCAATTGATCTACATTGAGATTTTGATTTTGAGCTTTCAATTGATATACATCTTCTGAATTTGGTTTGTTTGTCTTATTGGCAGTGATTATCTGTTTAAGCTTTTGCTTATTGGAGATTCTGGTGTTGGCAAATCATGTCTACTTTTGAGGTTTGCTGTAAGTTCTTGGTCCATCTTTGATTTTAATCATTTTAGATCTTAGCTACGTGATTTGTTATCTTCTCGTTTTTCAACTAAGATTAATCATTCCAAACTCATTTTTCTATAACTTCTGGAGACCAGGATGATTCATATCTGGAAAGTTACATCAGTACCATTGGTGTTGACTTTGTGAGTATCGTCTCAATACTTTTTATCTATCGGTTTGCTTGTTTGAAACATACTAGTAGTAACTGAATTCTTATCTGTGTTTCAAAATGTAGAAAATCCGTACTGTGGAACAGGATGGAAAAACCATCAAACTCCAAATTGTAAGTCACTAATCTTTTTTTTGTTGTTACTTTGTTGAGTTTTGACTTGCCAAAGTTATTGATTTGGAATGCTCACTGTGATCCGGTGCACGCATAGTTTTGGTCTGCTTTAACTGTGTTGCACTCACTCTCCCATTTCTAGTCTATGGAATTCTTTGTTAGGAGTTAAATCCATATCTTTTTCTTTCCTTCCTTTAGACTATATGATATATTATATATTCAAAATGCCGTTTGTTTTCTTTTGATGATTTTTAATTGTTGATTGCCTTTACGTGCTTGTCTCTGGATATGCAGTGGGACACTGCAGGCCAAGAGCGCTTTAGGACAATCACTAGTAGCTATTACCGTGGTGCTCACGGAATCATAGTAAGCCATTATCTATCTTTTTATCTATGTTTTCTGCCCTTAATTTTCTTTATTCAGGATTAAACTCTGTGCTGCTTGCAATCTTGGCAGGTTGTTTATGACGTGACGGACCAAGAGAGTTTCAACAATGTCAAGCAATGGTTAAATGAAATCGACCGCTATGCCAGTGACAATGTGAATAAACTTTTAGTTGGGAACAAGTGTGACCTAACAGCAAACAAAGTAGTGTCATATGAGACAGCTAAAGTAAATATATTGCACATACAAACGTGTTGCAAATTTAATTTATATAGTTTAGGTATCGAGAAAAAGTTCAAAGCATTTTCTTCACTCATTTTTCCTTTGTACAGGCTTTTGCAGATGAAATTGGGATTCCTTTCTTGGAAACTAGTGCAAAGGATGCCACTAATGTAGAAGATGCTTTCATGGCCATGGCTGGTGCAATCAAGAATAGGTACATCTACCTGATGTCTTCCACATTTCTTGATGAAGTGACACACACACACACATATATATATAATTATTATGCATGTTGATGGTTGAGTTAGTAAACGGTATTAAGAAAATAAGAGTCAACTACATCTTTCCATCGCTCAATTTTGATCATATTCTTGTTTTGGTCACTAAACTTTAACTTTTTTCAGTTTGATCACTCAACTTTCACATTGCTCTGTCTTTTGTCATTCAAGCGTTAAATTAGACTACAGGGTGACATGATCCGTTTTTTGCTGATGTGGAAGCCATTTCTTTTCCCGCATCTCTCACTTTTTCCATTTTGATTATTTTTCCAACAACTTTAAAACTCTTAGTGTTTCATACCCATCTCACGCTGTTTTTTAAAATATAGATGTCTATCATAACACCGTTAATAATTAACTGCAGATGACCAAAACAGTGCAATATCAAAGTTAAGTGATCAAGTTGAATTTTTTTAAATTTTAGTGACCAAAACAGGAATGTTGTTAAAGTTGAGGGATGGAAGTTGTAGTTTGCTCAAAAATAAATAGATGCTACAAGCGGTAGATTTTTAGCTTGCTTGTTGATTTAAATAAACTCTAGTATGAGCGCACCGTAACATATACACTAGATATAATTTACTTATATTGGTGTAAAACTTGATATATTCATTTTGGTAAGGGTTAGTTATCTGTTTAATGATTGTATGCAGGATGGCTACCCACCCAGGCGTGAACACCGCGCGAGCTCCATCGGTGCAGCTCAAAGGCCAGCCCGTGAACCATAACTCTGGTTGTTGCTCTTCCTAAAAGAAGAATTAGTTTTCGTGGGTCCATGTGATGATATTTGTCCTTTTGTGTTGCTTGTTGCATGTAGCCAAAGAAAGAAGCTAGCCCTATTCTAACGCCATTCGATAGATGAAGTGGTTCAATACTTTTAAATTTCTATTCTTTTAAATTTATTTGATTTTATGAATACGTTTTGTTAAAAATAAGAATATTTGTTAAATCCATTTTCTACCACCATTATTCCCCTTATCTGAATAAACAACACTTTTCTTATAATTATTTTTTGATCGGTTTTGTTTGTTGTGTATGAATCATGACTGCCTTTCATCTGTTTGTTTAATAGAATAAACTAAGAATGATCAAATCACTCATTTTTAGTTTAGGATAGAAATGATAGAAAATCTGATCTGTCTTGTCCTGTGTTCATCTCTACTATAAGCATAAATTAAGTTAGAATAATTTGGTGTTAATGGATTTTAATAAAAAAATTGCACATTGAAAGTGAGAAGGTTAATATCAAGCACTTATCATGGATCCAAAGAAAGTGAATCATTTTGATCATCCTACCGATAAGGAGGAAGGTGAAGCTTACCTACCCGATGTGTCAAATTTGATTACAAATGAGTACAATTTTATGAATTTCGTATCACACTCGCTCTAATTAGGATGATGATGGGTATAAGTTTAGTGGGTACGAGATGGGTGGTGATAACCATTTGGGTATTAGATGTGTGAATTTAAAAATATACTCACATGAGTAGGTGGTGAATACAAAAATATTAAACGAGTACCGCGCCCGTTTTCCATCCCTAATAATCACACAACATAAGATCACCTAGTAAAAGTAATAGTTTAAACACAGGCTCTGAACTACTAAATTACTGAGTACCATTAGCAAAAATAACTGCGATCGAAGAACAGCCTTATTTTCATGCTTCTCATCAAGTTCATTTGCAGCGTTTTCCTTAATTTCTTTTATTATTTTTTTGAAAATATTATTCCAGAGAGGACATTTTATATACACCTTTGGAATTATCATGGAATTTGATACTAAAAATATATATAAAGAATATGGGACACTCTTGTATATGTGCAATTTTTTTTCATTAATAAGCTTAGCTGGTTATTGAGATGGACTAGGCAAACAACTAGCCACGGGGAAGCTAAATCTATCCCTGTCAAGGTTCAAGCTCAAGGCTTTGTGTGTATATAACTGTTTCATATTCGATCTTTGATCATGAACCAATCTCGCTAAGCTTCTCTTGGCATTGGACCTGAACGGACAGTTCGACGATAAGAATCCGTCCACTAAATGTAGGTAAGCCTCTAGATCATGACAGCATGCCATGTCGGCATTCGATTTTAGATAAGGTGACACTTTGGTGTCGAGTTTCAGTTCTGTTCCGGCATGAGAGTACGTCCAGAGATTATCTTCTTTTCGTTGATCGGATCTATCACTGATGCATACGTTCGAAAGGGCGGGAACTTTGGTGATTAGATCTTGATTGTTAACGATTCTCAATACTTTAACGTTTTTCTCGTTAAGTCTGTCGACGAAGCCTTTGTTACCGACTTTAGGTCCTCCGAAGGAAAACACCGCGACGGGCAGCTCGTCGGGCATGCACGAACTTATTTCGTCGGCAACTAAAAGTGATAGCGCCGCGCCGAGGCTGTGTCCGGTGATTGTAATGCTGAGGTTCTCACCTTTGTACATCTCGACCAACCTTTTCACTTCTTCGACCACTGATTCGGCCAAGCTCGGCACGCGAGCTCCGCGTGTTTTATGCAAGCTCAAGAATCCACATTCGACCCTTTGGGTCGGGTCATCGGAACCGGGGATTTGAACAAGTTGGGCTCGGAAATTTTCGGCCCATTCGAGGCAAGTAGCGGTTCCACGTAAAGCGATAACGATATCCCTCCTCCCCATGCGGTGGATCTCCCTCTTGTCATCGCAAACCGCCACGTACCCGATCCAACTAGACCTTTGTGTCATCCACCCGAGATCCGGAGCCACATAGTCTACCCATTTCGGTAACCCGACCGACGAAGTTGCATAGAGACTTTTTGTCACTTTATAAGACCTATCGGGCAACGCCACGTGCCTCGGCAACGGAGCCTTCTCGGTCGACATGGCGGGGTTCGAATGAAAACCGTGGTAAGCCGCCTGGACGAACTCACCGTATCTAACGACTTCTCGCCGGAGATTCTCGTCGAGCGGGTCGAGTAAACCGGACCAATCATTGCAACCTTGGTACTCTCTCCAACGGGAACCGAGGCTGTTCCTCGGAGAATACTCCATGGTTTTAGATAAAAGCCTCTTAAGCCTATTCAAATGGCGCGGAGACATCTCCTCGGCGGCTTTCATTTCAGGCCAGATCCTCGACAAATTAAGCCCTTCGAACAAACCCTTACCTTTGGTCTCGACCGACGCATTGGCGGAACCTTTGACGACTCGTTCCGGTTCGGGTTGGCTTGTTTTCTGGATCAACTTTTCGAGGTTCGAAAGGTGTTCCCGAGTCGACTCAGTAGACGAAGCTGATGAAACACACGAAACAGGCTTTTTAAAAGATGGATTCAAGGGTGATTTATGGCACTTGAAGCTTGCTCGCCTGGTCTGGAAGACGTTCAAGTTCTGAGCCGGAAGAGTTGAGCCGACGCCGATCTGCATGGATTCACTGAACAGGAAAATCAAAGCAATCGACAAGGTAATAACTAAACTGCAAATGGGAAGAAGACGGAGTTGGATTGGAGTGGAGAGACGAAATTACGGGTTTATTTATAGACAAGGGTTTCCACTTTATACCCACGCTTTACAATATAATTACATAAAGAACCTTAGTGTCTTATAATGGTAATAATGTAAATATACGAACTTTTCTCTGGTTCAATGTAAATACAATTCCCACGCTTTACAATATAATTACATAAAACTACCCCACCGATTCAAGGAAAGTCTGCGATCAATGAGAAAGGTAGTTAACTTTTTATTTCGAGTTGAATTGACTGAAAGAACCCTTGGATTTGGCCTTTTATTTGAATAAGACAATGTCAATAACAAAGCAATTATATCATTAAAATAGTAAATTACAAATTTCATCACCTACCTTTAATTATATTTTTGTTTCCATTATTAAATTTTACAAAAATATTATGGAAAATTTAAATTATTCTACTTTTTTATAGCTTGAGCATTAAATCAAAATAGCAAGGTGGCACGAGCAAAGGCGGATGCATTAAGTACCCTAGGATTAAATGCATCCAATTATTTAGAAAAAAATATAAAATTTAGTTTAATATGTTAAGGAAAAATATAAAAAATAAACTTTTTTGCATGCCCATTATTTTTAAAAATTAATATTAAAATTTTAGATCCATATTCTTAAATTTTTAGATCCGCCACTGAATACTAGTATATGATCACTTTTATATTAATGTGTATTATATTTTGTGATGTAAAAGTCACATGTTAGCAATATCTTTTTTTCTTCTTGTTATCATACAAATCATTTTATTTTAGTGGTTAGAAGAATCAATATCATTCTTAGAGGTCACAATCTCGAGCACCAATAATTGCAAAGATGATTAAATATTCATTGTCAAATGATTGAAATTACTTAGAATAAATTAGCTTAATAAAAAAATATCCCTTTTTTCTCCATAAATATGAACTTTTTAAAAAATTTATCGAGTCAGGTTAGGGTTTGGGGGCCATCGTCCCCTAATTCTTTTATCATTAAAAAATATAAGGATAAATATTTATTTAGACCATTAAATTTTGATTAGAATTTCGATCCTGTCTCTGTTCTCCAATCACATAAGATATTATCAAATTAATTTTATCGTTTTTCACCACTCTAGATTTATAAAATATTCTTTGAAACTGATAAAATTCAATCTAAAATCTAAAGAAAAACAACTTGGATATACAATCTCCATCATTCGATTAACATAAAATTAAGACATATAACTCGTCTTTTTTTCTTCGTATTTTCATTGTTGAAATTAAAAAAAATACTCATTATTAAAAAAATAAAAATTTTAAACTCAAAAGATACTTTATTATTTTAAAAATAAATATCAATACTTTTGACTTTAGGAACGGTAATAGAAACTCTCAAATATTTTAATATCTCCCATTGGGGTTTTGTTTGGTTGATAATATTACTTTGATTGGATTGACTTTCAGTATGAGCTAAAGCGTAGGGATCTTAACCACCGTGTAACCGAGTACGGGTTTCTGTGTGTCGCGGGGAACCATGAAAACGTGGACACGTTTTTGTTTGCCATTTTTACCACTAAATTTGCCACCAACAACTTTTATATGCTTATTAAGTGGGGGGCAATATTATAAGGGTAAACCACGTGTTTAGTATCTAAATTATTAGTTTTGATTTATTTTAATATTTAAATTTTTTAATTTTTATAAAATTATACCTGAAGTTTAGTTTATGTTTCATTTGAGTACACCGCTGTTAAAAGCTTCCGTTGTTATTTTATTTTAGTACTTCTGTTTAAAATTAAACATTTTGTTTTGAAAATGTTGAAAGTTTTGGTATTAAAACGGACCAAAACCGATAGTTTATATACTAAATGTGTTAAATTTTTAACAACGAATACTAAAATAAAATGAAAACTAAACGTTATACATGATTTTGAAAAAAATAAAAATTTAGATACCAAAACGGATTAAAATTGATAGTTTAGGTACTAAAAACATAATTTACCCATATTATACTTATAAAAATAAATAGTTAAAATTACATGAAGAATCGGAATCGGGAGTAACAAAATTATTAAAGTTTAAATTATTAAATATTTGAATTTAAAAATCTAGAAATAAGATCCAATTTATCTAATATTTAAACATGTGAAGATCTTATATTATCACTGGACCAACAAATTTAGGGGGGCATGAGTCTCTCTCATCTATTCTTTAATTTTATTCACAAATATCTAATAAAATAATAATGATAATTTTATTATCGGTTAAAACTAACTATAAATTGATTTAACGAAATGAAGCTTATAATTTTTTAAATAATATTATGATTATAGAAAGATAATTTATATTATAGACTTTTGTAATACT